CTTACTTGTGGGGGTAGCCTTGTCAACTCAGATCTTCAAAAATGTCTAATTTGATTTGCTGTGAACTAATGTAATATGATAGAACCTAATTTGATCTTATTGACATGGATGAGGCTGAATTAGCTAATGTCAGGCCCATTTCCAAAGTGCACAAAGGCTGCCGAGGAGGGGGCCCCGTGAGGTCAGACATCGCTGCATTGGAGGCCTCGTCTTTACTGCAGCCCCCTGAGACCTGGAGGCCTGGGGTGCAGCTCGCAGAGACCACTGATGCTCTTGTTCCTCAGACAGCGAGAAAGACACCAGCTTGAGTCATGACTGCAAAGCACCTGCTACAGAGCCTGGGAAATCCCTTGCCCACCGGGGCCATGGCATGCACATCTGCAAGATCAGGCCACGCCTCACTGAACAAAAGAACGGCTCTTGGACCCAAGGAAGCAGCCCTGATACCACCTGCTCTGTGTGCTGGGCTTTTTGATCTCTCAGATCTGCTGCTCAGTTTTCCGGTCTCTTCCTCTGGTCATCGCTGCCAGCGTGCCTCTCCTGCAACAGCAAATACCTCCTGCCTTCCATCCTCTGTGCTCCAGCTGTCCTGCGGCTGCACTTTTTTTTTTTTTTTTTTTTATTTAGAATTTGATCTTATTTTTTTAATTTATTTTATTTACTTATTTTTGGCTGCATTGGGTCTTTGTTGCTGCGTGCAGGCTTTCTCTAGCTGCGGCGAGCGGGTCCTGCTCTTCCTTGCAGTGTGTGGGCTTCTCTTGCTGCAGAGCACGGGCTCTAGGCACATGGGCTTCAGTAGTTGTGGCACGTGGGCTCAGCAGTTGTGGCTCGCAGGCTCCAGAGCGCAGGCTCAGTAGTTGTGGCGCATGGGCTTAGTTGCTCCGCGGCATGTGGGATCTTCCCGGACCAGGGCTCAAACCCGTGTCCCCTGCATTAGCAGGCAGATTCTTAACCACTGCGCCACCAGGAAAGCCCTGCACTTTTTATAACAGAGCAGAGAATAAGTGCCTGGTGAGCGCACTGTGAGCAAAGCGGTGCCCTCACTGTGACTGTCGGGATGTGGTGTGGCTCCTTAGGGCTTCCTGGATGTCTGGGTCAGCCGCACGTGGGTGTCACCTGGTCACATGCACGTACGTGAGTGCCCGCTCTTCTGAACTCTCATTAGACAAAACGTCTGATCTCAGGGAGGCTGCACACCTGTACACCAGGTGACACTCAATCTCCTGAGGCTGACAACCATTAGGGACAGATGCCATCGGGGCCTTGTGTCTGAGTCAGAGAGGGAGCCGATGCCTCCAACACTGCACTGCTCCCTGAGGGCAGGCAGGACGTCTCACCTCCCTCCCTGGACTGGGCACGTGCACTTCCAGAAGGAGAGCAGCCCACACGACGGACACTTCATTTGGAAAAGAGAAGCAAAATTTAAGTGAAGCAATTTGATAACTACTATGATATCTTAATCCCGAATACTACTCAAGTGTATTTTTTAGAAGGTTAACATTATTTATTATAGCTTAAAAAATGGAATATCCAGCAACATGGCACTAAGTAAACAAAGGAACGCTCTGGAACCTTTGCAGACCAAGAGAAGACGTTCACATAACAGTGTTTACTGAAATGAGAAGAACACAAACACTATAGCATAGATGAGAATAGGTGCCTGGTTCTGCACACGTGAGACAAGTGACATGACAACTGTGGACCAAGTCTGGGGACGGACCAGGGGTTCTGATGTCAGGCAGCAGTGACCTCAAGTAGAGGCCAGGTTTCCATGGGGAACACCCATCTCCCCCAAACCTAGATGTACCTCCTGAGAGCAATGAACACAGGAAGATGATGTAGGAGACAAAAGAATTCACTCATGGGCTTAATGTCCCCAAGACCGTTTGGCCTTTGTCCTCCACCCACAGATCTAAGTATCTATTAAACAGGAGCTAACCAGGGCCGGAGCCAAACACAGAAGCTGCTATACTGCAGGTGCTCCATAAAGCACCGTTGAATTAATGGAGCTGCTCCTACATGGAGGCTGAGTAAGGGATCTGACGCATCTCACTGCCCTTTACTGACTGAAAATGCCAGCCCACTAACAAGGTCTAAGTTGATTGATTATAGAATTTAACACATTTATTTTAAAAGGGATTGCAAAGGAGTGTCTTGATAAAAACACATACAAAACCGGTCACATTCTTTATCATACAGATTGATTGATTTATGTGCAATGTAGCCATTTACTGAAAAGCTAGCATTCACTAGATATCAATTATCAGCAGGTGAAAACTGGATATCATGTCCTAGGCATGCATGTTTATTCACATGCTAAATCATGGGTACAATCGCCTCTCTAGATGCAGCAGAAGACACACAACACGAGTTGCCAATTTATTTCTAGAAGTTCATGATGAGGTGGTGGGAGTGTTACCAAACCAAACTCAGGTCCACTTACCTGCGCACAGCAAAGCCAACCTACTGACACCGGGTAGTGGTGAAGGAAAGTGCAGCGTTTATTTCAGGGCCATCGAGGAGGACGGGCAGCTCACGCTCAAAAGGCCCAAACTCCCCGAAGGCTTTCAGGGAAACGTTTTTAAAGACAGGTTAAGGGAGAGGGTTGCGGGGTACGTGATCAGCTCATGGACATTCTTCTGACTGGTTGGTGGTGAGGTAACTAAGAGTCAGCATCACCAACCTTCTGGTTCTAACAGGTCTGGGCTCTATGTGCTTGTGGTCAACATGAAGTTAACTTCTTCACCTGGTGGGGGTTTCAGTATCTGCAAAACAGCTCAAAGTATATGGCTCAGAATATTATCTACAGCCCTTGAGGAGGAATTAAAGGTCCTTGACTTTGTCTAATGGCTAAACTATTATTATTTTGTCTTGCCTGACTGTTTTCCTTTGTCTCTGAATTTTTCCCTTCTCTGATTAAATCTATTCTTTGGAACTTGGGGAAGGCCTAGGAGGCTAAAGCTTTTCTACAAACAAGAGGCCATGGACACAGAAGGCGGGTGGTGTTTCTGTCCCAGGAAAGGCCCTGCAGGGTCCTGCTTGGTTTCAAAACTCTAAACCCAGAGGAAAAGGGTGATTTCCTAGTAAAAATACACATTGACAAAATGGACAGTAAAGTAAGGAAAATATAAAAGCTCCCACTGGAAAATATTGGTTTACAGTTAACAACTGAATGTTAATTGACCTTTAACACATTCTGATTTTAATATCAAAGCTTGATGTACTTACATGTTTCATCTAATATAGGATGTCAACGTTTTACAAAACAGATATTATTTTACGTACCATTACAACTCTGATGCCAATTAAATTTTGACTTGATCAAAAAAATTTCTTGATGAGATTACTTCCATTAAAGCCAGAAAAGTAAATTTTTAAAAAATATATATATTTATTTACTTATTTGGCTGTGCCGGGTCTTAGTTTCAGCACACAGGATCTTTAGTTGCAGCATGCAGGATCTGTAGTTGTGGCATGCAGGCTCTTAGTTGCAGCATGTGGGATCATTTAGTTGCAGCAGGCAGCCTCTTTATTTTTTAAAGATTTATTTATTTATTTGGTTGCACTGGGTCTTAGTTGTGGCAGGCAGGCTCCTTAGTTGTGGCTCCAGGGTTCCTTAGTTGCAGCATGTGAACTCTTAATTGTGGCATGCACATGGGCTCTAGTTCCCTGACCAGGGATTGAACCTGGGCCCCCTGCATTGGGAGTGTGGAGTCTTAACTGCTGGACCACCAGGGATGTCCCCAGAAAAGTACATTTTTAATAAATTCTGGTTTGGGTCTAAATATTAAATTTAAACTTAAATAATGCTGCGAGTTTTAATACACCTACTTTTCAGTGTGTCAATTTATTTTTTAAACTGTGTTAACACTGTAACAAAAAAGGACCATTACAACACTTGAGGGCAAGAACACAGGGGCATCTGGCCCTCAGGTGGACGCAGGACTGCCATCCCCACGGCCCAAGGGACTCCTCCCCATAAACACCCTGAATCTTTAAGAACCACAGGGTGCCATGAGTAAGAGCACCCAAAGCCTTCATGCAGGGATGCTTTTATAAAATAAGTCCTGCTGAAATACTCCAGGAGAAATAGAGATACACCATGTGGCAGAGTCCAAGAGACAAGTGTAGAAGACTAACATCCCTGGGAGGACGCCACACCTCCCCGCTGCGAACTCAGGGCTGCCAACACGATCCCAGCTGTGTCCTCTGGGATGCAGCACCCAACACGCCCCACTCACAGTTTAGCAGAGGCCAGTTCATCCCCTCCGACAGTCCTGGTGAACCTCTGAAATTCAGTGTTCTGATTATTCAGTGCCATAATTTAGAAATTCCAAGTGAAGTAGAGCCCACCAGTCCTGTGCCTTGATCAGAAAATATACAGGTAAGGAAAAGCAAAGTAGAAGGTCAACCAAAGTCAACTGATTTTCTATATCACAGTGCTATGGTCGGAATGTTTGTGTCCCCCCAAAATCCACAGGTGGGAATCCTAACACCCATGTGATCGTGGTAGGAGGGGCAGCCTTTGGGAGGTGATTAGGTCATGAGGGTGGAATACTCAGGAATGGGATTAGTGCCCTTGTAAAGGAGACCCTAGCCCCTTTCCTCCATGTGAGATACAAGGAGAAGTCTGCCACCAGAAAGCGAGCCCTCACCCTACCAGGCTGGCACACTGATCTCAGACTTTCAGCCTCCAGAACTGGGAGACATAAATTGCTATTGCTTATGAGCCACCCCGTCTGTGGTAGTTTGTGATAGCAGCCCAGATGGACTAAGGCAATCAGCAATGATGTAGGGGACAAATTGGAATTCGAAATGAAAAAAAAAAATTACAATAGCGCGCAGCAACAAAGAGTAGCCCCCGCTCGCCGCAACTAGAGAAAGCTCGCGTGCAGCAACAAAGACCCAACACAGCCAAAAATAATAAATAAATAAAATAAATAAATTTATTTAAAAAAAAACCACTACGCTAGGAGAAAAAAAATGAACACGAAAGGCCATGCATTATATGACTCCATTTATATGAAATATCCACAGTAGGTAAATCCATAGAGACAGAAAGTGGACTCGTAGTGGCGAGAGGTCAGAGGGAGGGTGGGGAGGAGAGTGACCGCTTAAGGGGCAGGGCAGGGGATTTCCCTTTGGAGGGTGAAAATGTTTTGGAACTAGATAGAGGTGATAGTTGCAAATATTACAGATGTACTAAATGTCACTGAATTGTACACTTTAAAATGGTTACTTTCGTACTATGTAAACTTCACCTCATCAAAAGCCAAAGAAAGAGAAAGCGTCCTGCAGCCTCCCCTGAGCAGGGTGAGTTTGCTCCCCTCACCCTGCCCTGGCCTGGCCTCCAAGGTCTTCCCCGGTCCAGCCACATTTTGGACCTTTGTGCTCCAGCCACACCATGCTCTCAACTCCTCCACCTGCAGCTTCCTCATCGAGTCCCAGGCCACCTTCTCTGACTCCTTCCTAGACACCTGGGGATCAGCGACTCCTCACCAGGGCTCACGGGGTCTTTTGAACGTTGCGATCTCAGCGTGCGGTTTCCAAGGGTCGTCTCGTCGGAATAAGTGGAAATTAGCATTTTCTGAGCCCCACGACATGCAGACACCTGGCTCAGGTACTGCCAGGCCTGTGTCCTGAGGGGCGGGCGTGGCTCACCTACAACCACCGGCCTCTGCATAGCTCCTCACTCAGGCACCACCAGGACCGAGTGTGTTAGTCAAACGAACACTGTCCCCGGGTGTGGAATCCCATGGGGGCCCAAGTCCATGTGAAGCCACAGGAGCCATGCAGCTGCTGTCATATACACAGCAGCTGGGGGTTCCAGGGTTGGCTCCAGGAAGTGGAGTCACACTGGTATTTTTACCCTTGGTTAGAGCGGACGGTGCCTGCGCCTCATTTCCATCTACACCCCTCCGCTCTCTGGATACTAAAGATACATGCGGGGTCCTCTTCATCCCTGCTGATCAGGATCTGGCTCTGCTGCGGCCCCCGCAAAACCTCAGGGCTCCACAGGCACACAGAGGGGACCTTTGCCTTCGGGGGCCTGGGGCTGCATGTGCTCCTCTCTGCTCAGGCTGCAGGGGACCCTGGACCACCAGAGAGGTGCCCCCTCTGGCTCAGCACCCAGGGAGACAAACCTCCATCTATCCCACATTCAGTACTTCAGCACCTCCAACGCCAGGACAGTCTTGGTCCAGCCCTCACTGGGTGGAGGATCCCAGCACCAGACCCAAGTCCCGCAGCCCGGCGGCGGGATAGGGTCTCCTGGTGAGGCCCCGAGTAAGAGTGACGGGGCTGCCCTGGGAGGGACCACGGCACCTCAGGCCAGCAGAAAGGTGGACATGGCTGGCAGGGGCACTGCCCAGAAATTCATATGTTGAAGTCCTAACCCCCAGTACATGTGAACATGACCATATATGGAAATAGGGTCTTTACAGATAATCCAGCCAAAATAAAGTCATTCAGGTTGGCCCTAATCCACTATGATTACATTGGTATAAAAAGAGGGGCTTTGGACAGGAACACACAGAGGGAAAACACCTTGTGAGGACTAGAGCTGCGCTGTCCCAAGCCAGAAACTACCAGAGGTGCAGGGAACCCTGAATCAGATCCTCCCTGGTGCCCTCACGGCCCTGCCAACACCTAGATGTCAGACTTCCAGCCTCCAGAACTGTGAGACAATAAATCTCTGTTGTTCTAAGCCACCTAGTTTGTGGGACTTCGTTACGGCAGCCCTAAGGGACGGATATAGGCGCCCTCTGCTCTGTCCCCCTCTCTCCAGACCACGGGGGTGGGGGTAGAAGCAGGGCCCTTCAGAGGCCAAGACCACTGCTGGGTGGTCACTCTGGCCACAGCACTCAGCCCCCGGGGGCCGACGAGGAGGGGCGGGGAGGCGGCCTCCCTGGAGCTGGTCGCTGAGCCTCCCCCTGCTATTCGTGGAGCCCAGAAAGCCCAGGAATAGCCAGACGCCACCCTTCCTATGTCCTCTGGGCCCCTCTCCCAGCCATCAGCAGTTTGAAACAGCTGCTATGTCCCTTTTAATCTCAGTAGGGGAGAGACCTCAGGAAGGCACAGAAACAGGACACTAGGCCTGGTCACCGTGTCTCACCTGTGTCCACAGGGCCCAGGCTGGCCCTTTAAGGGACTGAGGGCAGAACTGGCTGTGGGCCCTGGGGTTAAGCCAGGAAGCAGGGAGGGAAGTGGTGGACGGGGGGCCAGGATGGCAGAATGCTGAGGGCAGAGCCCCCTCCCGACAGATGCAGAGGGAGGGGAGAAGGGGAGAGCCTCCTGCCTCCACCCGGACCGGACATGTGACCGCTGCATGGGTGGCCCTCCGCAGGTCCAGTGCCAGTCAAGTGTTGGCTCCATGGACTTTGCTTCATGTTCCCCAGGATGGACGTGCTGCAGCACTGTGGGGACGGAGCCCACGGTCTGCCGAGAGCAGGAGAGCCTCATGCAGCCCATCCACCAGCGTCCTGCCTCTGACTGTGACCAATGCCTGCACAGTTACCTCCTGGCCGGGCATCCAGGCTCTGCTGGTCACAGAAAGGGCCACAGGCCAAGGCAGCGTCGGGCTCAGAGCTCTGCGCGCTTCCTGTGAAGGTGGAGGGGCAGCCCCACCTGGAGCAGCCCAGGGTACAGTAGTCGCTGCTGCTGCCCTGGGACTGCGGGGGAGCCAGCCTGGTAGGGCCTGCGGGGACCCAGGCCTCCTGTGGCAGGTAGGCGGGCAGCGGCCCCCCCTCCTCCACACTTCCTGCGGGCAGCGCATCTGCTGGGAGGCCGGTGCCCGTGCTCCCCTCCTCCTCCAGGCCCGCTAACGGCCCCACGTCCACCGGGTCATAGGTGAGCAAAGCGATGGCCTCCCGGACACGGGTCTCCCAGGCTCCTCGTGCGGGGCCTGTGCAGTCCGGGCTTGGCTGTGGACCAGCTCTGTGGGCCCCTATCCAGGTCTGGAACAGAGCACCGAGAGGAGGGAAGGCCTCAGGCAGTGTGTTCAGGACTCACTGTGGGAGCAGCCTCCCCTCCTCCAGGAAGCTCTCCAGAAATCCACTCCCAGAGACCAAGAGCACCTGTGCCCAGAACATTCTGTCTTCCCCCCATGGGCCAGCCCAGCCTCAACACAGAACCCCCATTCCCTTCAGGACCCTCCCCTGGCTCCCAGCACAGGCCTGTGCTCACAGAGGCCTGAACCAGGGTACAGATGGTGACAGGGCTGAAGACACTGCTGCCTCACACACTGCCAGCAGCTGCAGAGCCCGGGCACCCTCGCCCAAACCCCACTACACGCACGCACGCATGCACACACAGGAGGTGCTGTTGGGCCTGGCACCTTGGGGCCAAGGCCAGCAGACCTGGACCCTCTGTGGGGCCACAGGAGGCCCACTACCTCCAAAAGGAAGATGTTCCTGCATGTAAATCAATGACGTTAGAACACACCCTCACACCATACACAAAAATAAACTCAAAATGGCTTAAAGACTTCAACATAAGACAGGACACCATAAAACTCCTAGAAAAGAGCACAGGCAAAACATTCTCTGACATAAATCATACCAGTGTTTTCATAGGTTGGTCTCCCAAGGCAACAGAAATAAAGACAAAATAAACAAATGGGACCTAATCAAACATATAAGCTTTTGCACAGCAAAGGAAACCATAAACAAAACGAAAAGACAACCTACAGAATGGGAGAAAATATTTGCAAATGATGCGACTGACGAGGGCTTAATTTCCAAAATATACAAACAGCTCATACAACTCAATAACAAAAAGAAATCCAATCGAAAAATGGGCAGAAGACCTAAATAGGCATTTCTCCAAAGAAGAAATACAAATGGCCAAGAGGCATGTGAAAAGATCAACATCACTAATTATTAGAGAAATGCAAATCAAAACTACAATGAGTAGGCTTCCCTGGTGGCACAGTGGTTGAGAGTCCGCCTGCCGATGCAGGGGACACGGGTTCGTGCCCCGGTCCGGGAAGATCCCACACGCTGTGGAGCGGCTGGGCCCGTGAGCCATGGCTGCTGAGCCTGTGCGTCCGGAGCCTGTGCTCCGCAACGGGAGAGGCCACAACAGTGAGAGGCCCGCATACCGCAAAAAAAAAAAAAAAACTACAATGAGCTACCACCTCACACCAGTCAGAATGGCCATCACTAAAAACTACAAATAACAAATGCTGGAGAGGGTGTGGAGAAAAGGGAACCATCCTTTACTGTTGGTGGGACTGTAAGTTGGTGCAGCCACTATGGAAAACAGTATGGATGTTTCTTAAAAAATTTAAAAATAGAGCCACCATATGACCCAGCAATCCCATTCCTGGGCATATATCCAGACAAAATTCTAATGCAAAAAGATACATGCACCCCTATGTTCATAGCAGCACAATTCACAATAGCCAAGACATGGAAACAACCTAAATGTCCATCAACAGATGAATGGATAAAGAAGATGTGGTACATACATACAATGGAATACTACTCAGCCATAAAAAAGAATGAAGCAACATGGATGCAACTAGAGATTATCATACTAAGTGAGGTGAGTCAGAAAGAGAAAGACAAATACCGTATGATATCACTTACATGTGGAATCTAAAATATGACACAAATGAACTCATCTACAAAACAGAAAGAGACCCACATACATGGATAACAGGCTTGTGGCTGTCAAGGGGGTGGGGGTGGGATGAACTGGGAGTTTGGGGTTAGTAGATGCAAACTAGTGTGTATAGGATGGATAAACAACAAGGTCCTACTGTAGAGCACAGGGAACTATATTCAATATCCTATGATAAACCATAATGGAAAATAATTTTAAAAAAAAAAAGGAAGCTGTTTTCTATGTGGGACCAGGAGTCTCCATCAAGTGCACCACACACCACACCTTCCATCATTGTCCTGCCCCCTGGAGAGCCAGCCCGTGGCTCCAGACCACCTCCCAAGGGGTCTAACTAACCCCTGACAGGTGCTATGGTTCTACAGAGAAGGGGCTGGGTGCCTGCAGCCCAGAAGATGAGTGCAGGGCATCAGAACGTTTACTCCCCATGCAGCCCTGACAAAGTGCTCGGCTTTAAGCTTCAAATTATATTTTTGGATGACAAGCTTGAAAACTAGACTCCCTGTTAAGAGAGAAAAGAGCCAGGCGGAAGGCAGCCACGCAAAGCTGGTGTGGGAGAACCTGGGCAGCACCACCTCCATCCTCTGCCCAAAGTGAGGGGCCCGAGAGGGTGGGGACCAGAGACCACCCATTGGAGCTCCTCCTCCCCTCCTCCTGCCTGTGGAGCAGGAACTACCAGGCCAGCAGGGAGGGTCCGACGGGGCCTCCAGGCTGTTCTCAGCGTCGCGGCCTGTGAGAGCCCACCAGGGCACCACGATGTGGGGGTGGTGTAGGGTCAACTCATCACTACCCAGGGGGCCGGGAGGGGCCAGGCACTCCATGACGGCCACCAGAGTAGCCCAGGGACCAGGGAGGGCCCCAGGGGCAGCACAAGACACAGATGCCTTCAGGTGCACACTGCCCCCTGAGCTGGCACCTTAAACTGACCATTTACCTCCAAGGGCTGCTGCAAACCAGAAGAGGCAGAGATAATGTCATGAGAAACTTGACATTTTTTCCCATCAGCAATGGAATCAGAGACATGACAAGAAAAAGAACTCAGCAATAAAGAATAAAGCTAATTTGTCTTTGGCCCCTTTGAGTCACAGTGCGTACATATACTACATATATACTATATATACCACTATATATAGCAAAAAAGCTCAAAGCACTGACAGAGGCCCCCAACCTCACCCAGAGCCCACACCCTGGGCGGTCCAGACATCTGGGCACCCCGGGCCCACCGGGTCACGAACCTGAAAGTCCCCGTTGTGCACACTGTACAGGGACTGGAAGAACGGGCCGGGGGATGGCACGTCCTGGTACAAGGCTGTCTTCATCCTGAGGTCAGGAGACAGCAGTCAGAGGTCCAACTCCAGGAGGTCACTGCCAGGAACGCGGCTCCTTCCAAGCAGCAGGGACCAGCCCTGCCCCGTCGGTGCAGCTGTCGCCCTCTCCTCTCGTTGGGTCCAGGCCTGACACCTGGCACCTGCGGCCCCCTCGCTAATGACCCCACAGAACTGATTTATACCAAGACATGGGTCCCTTTAAGGTGAGTGGTGATGGCGGGTTCAGGGGTGGGGGTGACCAGCTGTGTCTTCAGCCGGAGGGGGAGACAGCACTTCCAGAAACCCCATCAGACTTCTCCCCGAGCACCGGATCTACCCGCCCAAGACCCACTGCTCCTCCCCTGAGAACGGCGCCCCAGACTCCGACCCAGCAAGTCCAGATCAACCTCACCAGCCTCCCTGGGGGCCTGTCCCAATTCCCCACCCCAGGGTGGCATCAGGGGCCACGAGTCACATCGCATCCACCCAACGTCCCCTCACTTTCCCGTCCTGAGACCCTGTCACTCCCTGAACTTTGCTCCAGCTCTGCCTCTCCCGCCAGCTCACACACAATTGCCTCCCTCTGGACCCCACCCCTGGCCACCCCGCAGGTCCTCCTCCTCACTTGTACCACAAAACTCCATTCTCAAAACATAAACCAGATCCCATCCCACGTGACCAGGCTTCAGGAGCTCTCCTGGGACCTGAGGGCAAGCCTGAGCCCTCCCTGGTCTTCTTGGCCACCCATCGGGCCCTGCCCAGCACCCCGTCCCTCCCTCACCCTGGCTGCCTCTGTCCAACCTCCTCTCATCCTCTCTGCTACCCGTCCACGCCTGGCCGGTCTCCTGCGGGACGAGGCCCCTGTACCCCCTCTCGTAAGTTGACATGTGTGATGGCTTGTTTCAGGAGAGCTTTTTTGTTCATCTGGTTGTCCGTGGCACCCATCAGGGCGGGAAACAGGGCCCCGTGAAAACCAGATGCCCAACACTGTCTGCATAAAACCACTGTGCAAATGAGCCAGTGCCAAGCACCTCCAGAGGCAGGAGACAAGGGCCTCAGGCGACTCGGCCCCAGGGACTTTGGGTCCCTCCAGGGCTCTTTTGGGCCACACTGCCCACCACCCACATGCACCTGGCAACTGGGGACATCCCCACTGGTCCGGGTCAGAGGCCTGAAAACCCCTCCCCACCCAGGAGCGTTGTGGGAGGGGGTGCGGGTTTGGGCCCTCAATGCACCGCCTACCCCACACCCACAAATGCACACACACGCTCATGCACATACAAATTCTCACACCCACATGTACAATAACACATTCACGTACATGCACACACTCCCACACACACTCCTTGGCTACAGACCTGGGTGATAGCTTGAACAGCAGGTAGGTCAGGCTGGTCAGCAGGAGAAAGATGGACACAGAGACCAGGGTGCTGTCGCGCTGCCCCAAAGCTGGGACCAGGAGACCTATAGCAGGAAGGGCCCAGGGCTGTGTTCCTCCAAACTCACCTGGCAAAAGCACCTGGATGGGCGCCTCAGGCCAAAATGGAAGGTTTACGTCGCGCCTCCGAGAGTACCCTGGGCGAATCACGCACCCCTGGGCCTTGCCTTTCCCATCCATAAGATCACCAGGGTCCGAGATCCTTTCCAGTACCTCTGTGCACAAGAGTCAGCCCAGCCCCCTAAGCAGACGAGGCCCTGCCCGGGCTCCAGAGACAGCAGCACCAGCCTGCTGTGCAGCTGGGGCCACACTCGCTCCAAGGAGACCGGGAGCCGCAGCTCCCTGGGAGGCCCAGCACTTGGCAGGTGTTTCCCCTTCACACAGACCTCCAGGGGAAGGCAGTCAACTGGGCCACGAGGGAGGAGGTCCCAGGAGGGGTAAGGGGTGGGATGCGAGGGGGCGGGGAGGCCCCACCCAGGCCCCTGAAGGCAGCAGCGCCCACCTTGTCTCTGGGGGGAGTGGAAGCGGGCGGGCTGGCTCCAGTCACTCCATGGGCCCTCGTAGCGCTCCTCCTCCGCCACCGCGTCCTCTGGTGTGGCCATCTGGACACGCAGCCGGGCCTCATAGGTGGAACCAGGGTCCAATTCAGTGGCTTCAAGTTTCAGCCAGGTCACCCCAACGATGTGATCCTTGTGCCGAGCCCGCTGTGGGGTGAACAGTTAGGAGGTGCTGGGGGTGAGACTGGGCCCATCAGCCCTCGAGGACGTGTACACACACACGTGGGCACACTTACACGTGTCCACACACTTACATGCATCCACGTGCATGCACGCTCATCCACACAGGCACGCCCTGTGAACGCTCACACGTACACACAGGCACACTCACCACACCTGCACTCACTTACCCTTGTCTCTGGTCACTTCCCTCCTCACAATTCCAAGGTGACACCACCCTAGATGGGACGAGGAGTGACCCTGGCTGCTGCTCCCAGGAGAGGCCCCCAGGGTAGGCAGACCCAGCCTTACCTCCCAGGTCTCCTCCTGCCTCTTGAAGGCCAGCTCGTAGCTGAGGAGTGAGGCCAGCGGCTCCAAGGCAGGACTAATGCTCCAGGTCAGGACACAGTGGTCAGAAGTGATGTTGCTCAGCAAGTCAGAGGGAGGGTCCAGCTTCACTGAAACAGAATGAAGCTGTGTAACGGTGTGGGGGGACTGGGGATCGCAAAGATTCCCGGGAAGGACGGGGCATGTGGCCAAGGCCTTCTCAGAGCAGAGGCCTCACTGGAAAACTGGTCCAGAGAAGCCCCAGGTGGGACAAGACAGCAATGACTTCCTCCAGCCTCTGCAGCCAGACAAGGTGAGTTTCAGATCTAAGCTGCTGCTGGAAGTTCTTCCTCCTAGTGTCTTACTGAAGTCCTTCCTGCTGTGACTGAAGTAGATCGCAAGTGACTCAAACTGCAGCTCCTGCCCCAACTCAAAGCCCTGCACCTTCATCCTCCTCCAAAACCCTCCCCCTCCCCGGGGGCCCCGCCTGATGCTAGCCCTGGTTCCATCAGCAGGGACCGTGGGGGGTGATGTAGCCAGAATGCTCCTGGCCAACGCACTGACCCAGGCCTCACCATGTCTCCGGGGCAGGTACTGTGGATCCACCAGGCTGACCTGCTCCTTCCCAGAGACGTGACGGTGGAAGGTGATGGTGAAGTTGTCAGAAGGCACGAGCACCTCCTCGGGTGGCAGCTCCACTGTGCACACGCTGGCCCGGAAGACGCACCTGTGCTTGCTGCCTGGAGCGTGGTTGCTGGAAAGGGCACGTGTCGGCACCAAAGGGCCACTGCACCAGCCCGGCTCCCTACCCCCATCCCTGCCCTCTACCCCCTGCCCTCCGGCCTCACCTGGTGAAGAGCAGCCAGGGGCCGGCCCCCTGGCCCAGCTCTGGGGCAGACCAGTGGCAGTCAATCCTGAGGATGTTGTTGGTGTGGCACGTGAAAGTCCCAGGCCCTGGGAACAGTGACCCTTGCAAGCCCACAGTGGCTGCTTCAGGGCAGGGCTGGGGGAGGGGGAGGGCGTGGCAGCTGACCCCTCGGACAGGGCAGGCCCCAGAGAACGAGCCCAGGAGAAGTTACCGCGGGCAAGGCTGGGAGACCCCGAGGGGATGGGCTCTGAGCGTGCAACCTGGGTGGGGCTGAAGCCCCGGTTGATCTCAGGAAGACGGGTGCCCGCACAGCCCAAACCCAACCCTTCCCCGTGGAGCCTGATGGGGGCACCCCTGCCCCCAGCTCTGCCCCCACAGCCCCCCCACACACAGTGCCAGCCCTCACCTTCTCCGTCCCCTGGGACAGAGACGCCCAAGCCGGCCCAGGCGCACATGCAGGTGCAGGTCAGGAGCCAGGTGCCCACCTCTCGCATCAGGACCTTGCTCTGCAAGGTCCAACCTGGAAGACGCTGGGCTGAGGGGCTGTGTGCGGAGTGCCCCAGTGGGTGCTCCCGTGAGGGGCACTCCGAGTGGGTCACCACCTACACCCTCACCCTGTCCCGTGAAGGAGGCTGAGCACCGCTGTCCAAGTAGCACCGGCAAGAACCTCCAGCTCAGGCTTCCCGGGGTCGCTGGACTCTGACTCAGCCACGTGTCCAGGTCTGCCCAGTGGGCGCCTCTCTGGGCCCGGCCCCCTATCCCTGGGCCCAGGTCCCCTCCCGCAGGGGAGGCACGGTTGGGGGAATGGGGTCGCGGACAACAACCACAGGGAAGCTCTGCTGGACCCCCTGGTCCCACACCTGGGCCGACTGTGTGAGGCGCATCACCCACGCGAATTCCCACCATAGCCACATGAGGTGGGGGACAGTCCCTGATCACTGACAAGGGAGCTGACCCCAGGGTCACACAGCTAGCTGCTCCCATCCTGGTGCTCTGCCCCAGGAAAGTGGAGGAGGATGGCAGCGGGGTGTCCATGCGACAGCCAACACCTCCCACACGCTGTCTGTCACACGCCTGTCCCCAGGTGCCCTGCAGAGGACAGCGCCCCCGGGAGCAGGGCTCTCAGTGCAGGGGTGTCAGCCCCAGGATCCCTGGAGACAGGGGCTGGGTGCTGGGAAGCGTCTGGGGGTGAACAGGCCGCTAACACCCTGTCACCCCATTTGCAGCTCCAGATGGTACACTGATAGCTCCTCTGCAGGAAGCAGGACCAGCCTGGTTATGCAAGCCTGATGAGTGATAAGGAAGCAGAAGAGAAGCAGACATGCACAGACCGCAGCACGGAAGCGCTCCAGGAGCCCGCACACACTCACCTGGTAGCAGACACCCTCCCACCCCGCCCCCTGCAGCCTCTCTGTGGACCCACAGGATGGACCCCTGTCAAGGCCAACAGTCAAGAAGACCCCACCCTTCCCTAGACTGAAGCATCACCTGCTACAACCAGCCACGGCAGGAGAGGCTGCAGCGGCCACTGGATGGAGACAGGCAGCCTGGCAGCAGCTGGCTCCCAGGGCGCATGAGGACAGGATCAGAGGGAGCACCAGGATGGGGGCGGATCAGGCACAGCCACCACTGCCTGGCTAAGGGCTGGCCCAGGCCACAGTGGGGATGGCCACTGCCCCAGCGGTGGAGGGACACCTGCATCTGTGAGACTTGGGCCGGCACGGCCACAGGCTGACTCAGGAGCGTGGACTGGGGTGCTCCAAGCTCAGCTGGCCCCAGGGGCAGGCGTGGGGAGGACAGGACCCACACGGGACACTCATGCGAAGTAGCAGGCCAGGCCCACCCTGGGGAGAGGTGGGCAGGGCACACGGCAACTCGGCCATCTAGGGGGAGGGTCCCTGCTTTTCCTCTGCACAACGATTCTGTCCAAACATGGTGAGCCGAGCAGGGCCACCACCCTCCTATGGACGAGGAGGCTGAGGCCCAGAGACACCAGACTTGCAGGATTGGGGGCACTGGTCACCTGGCCTGGGCACTTGCTCCACCAGCTCCCATGCAAGCCTGTGAGCTTCCCCCTCCCCGGGGCATCAGTCTCTCTCCTCAGGGAGCCTCAACACTGAGGCAGGGCTGCCCCCATCCTTGGCAACAGACACCGGGCCAGGTGGGGCAGAAACCCCACCTGACTACTCCCTGGTCCTGGAAGAGGCACTGGGATGGCCCCAGGGAGGCCTAATCACAGCTCAGACAAGACCAGGTCACGGGACGGCTGTGATGGCAGGAGGATGGGACCCAGAATCTGGGCCCTCGGGCAGAGCCGCCCACTACACCTCCCATCCTGCTGGGAGCCTGGCTGACATGTCCACCCAGCACCATCCCTTTCCATCAGGACCTTCAGCACACAACCACCCTGGCCCCTTCTCAGGACCCCATCTCCTCCCTGGCCTCTGGGTCAAGTTCTGGCCCAAAAGACCACTGGTCCCCACAGCTTGCCTGCCCTGGTTTCCCGGCCCAACATGAAGGCATGGGCTGCCGTGCACTGGACCCCTGCCTCGGGGCCCACAGACGCTGCCAGCCCAGGGCCAGGTCTCCAGAAGGACTCAGCCCCCCGCTCCCCTGAGCGCTCACCTGCTGCCAGGCGAACTGCCCGGCCAGAGCAGGCCTCTGTCATGGGGCTGGTGCATCGCAGCACGCCCTCCGGACTGGCTTCATGGCAATTACCGCACCCACTTTCTGTCCCCTTTCACACAGAGTCTGTATTTTTAATGGGGAGCTAGGAGTACCCTGTTACTCTCCCTGCCCACCCCAGAAGCTGGCAGACACAGAGGGGGGTGAAATGGAGGCTGCTGCTTATCCACCACTGTCCTCTCTGCTGGGGCAGGAGGAAGAAATCCAGGTCCTGGCTCCCCAGAAGCAGCTGGAACCTGGGGGAGGCGGGGACTAGCCAGGAAATGAGGCTGGAAATGGGAGCAGGCGGCTCCTGCTCTGGGCCCCACGTGCGCAGGTGGGCGACCCCAGCACCCTCGGACCTGATGCTGTGGGGCAGAAGTGCTGGAGGACTCTGCTTCCCACGGTGGTGCCAACCTTGCTGGGGAAGGGCAGGGAGCAGAAGAGGTCAAGGCCAGCTGGGGAGAGCGCGGAGAAGGCGCAGAGGGCAGAAGAGGGAGGAGGCTCCACGGCGCACTTGCCACCTGCCTTCCTAGAGGGCTGAGCTGGACGGGCACCCGCCTCAGTGGGGTGGGTGTCCGGGAGATGTGGAAAGGCCAGGCTTGAGCCAGGGGTGGCCTCGGGTGGACAGGGGCACAGAGGGCGGGGCCCAGAGCAGAGGGAGGAGGAGGTCCGAAGATGGAAGTCGGAGGAGCACAGAGAGGACCTGAGGGCCCTCAGGACGAGCCCTCACTGTCGCCTCTGCCCAGCTGCCTTCTGCGTGATGAGCCTTCATGAAGCCCCCGAGTCCCCTGGCTGTCTCCCCAGCCAGAGCAGACACCCCTGAGCCAGGCCCAGCCTGCTTAGGACAGGGGTGGGGGCAGGGCAGGTAGTGGCTATGGGCACGGGCTGGAAGGACACTGACACAGGCCTTGGGCTAAATGCGGGGAAACGATGCCCCTGCTCTTCCCGTGCTGCCCCTGCAGCCCTGGCAGTGAGGCTCAGCCGGCATCGCCCCTGCATCTGGTTCCTCCAGGGCAAGAACCTATCTGACTTATGCTGCATCCCCTGCACCCAGCCCCTCACTGTTGAAGAAGCTCATCCTGAACCTCCCCACAGGCCCGCCCTTGCCTGGGGTAGACAGTGTTAACGCCTTAGGTCCCCTGGGGGCTCTGAAACATTATTCAAGCAGAATCCTCTACTCCCCTCCCTCACTTAGCTGAGTAACCCTCCCAGAATCCCACCCTCACCCACTGCCTCGTCCACAGCTCCAAGGGGAGTCCACAGACTCGCAGCTCCTCTTCTGTCCTAAAGCCCCCCAAAGGTGTCGTGGAGAGAAGGGGCTTTACCAAACTCAGGACTGGGCCTCAGCTCCACTTGTGGTTGTCATGGCTGAGACCACCTGGCCCCAGAACTCCCGCTCACTTGTCCCCACAAAGGTCAGGACCTACAAACTGCCTGACAAGCTCAGAGCCCTTCTTTCTGCCCAGAGGCACCCATGACCCCTACAGGCCTGGGAATGGCAGCCCAGCATCCTGTGATCACCACTGCAATCCTGCTGTCTCTGGGAGATGCCTGAGGCCAGGAAATCAAAGGCGGTAAGATGAGGGTGGCGGCCCAAACGCCCTCCGCCCCTCTCGTCCAAGTGTGGTCCCCAGGCTCTTCCTTGGGCCTGGGATGGCAGGCCACCAGTCTCTCTGTCCCACAAAGTTCACGCTGACCTGAGTGGTTGAGAAGCCCAGATTACAGACTCACCTTCCCAGACGCATCTGCTAGGTCCCATGGCAAGTCTGACTGGCCCCCAACCCTGCAGCCCTGGAGGTGGCTTGTCGCCCTACCACCCCTGCGTTTGCAGCAAGTCCCTCAGCCTGATTCAGGAGATAACTGCACCGCCCGGTGACGTGAGCCTCTCATGGCAGGCTGACATAGGCCACCCACAACTGAAACCACGAGCGCAGAGCCGAGCAGCTGTCCCAAGTGGGGATGACAGGCAACCATCACCCCAATCATAAATCCTACCTTTCACTCCTCAGGAACAGAAAAGTTGCTGAACGTGGACTTTGGTGACCCATCCACTGATTGGCGGATGACTGTCCACCATGTTCCTCTCAAGAAACACCAGTGAGATGTATTAAGTTAGCGCCGGGAGGTGAGAACCCTGACCAGGCACAGAGCAGGTCTCCTTTCCTAGGCTTTCTGGGAGGTGCAGCTCAGGCGATCCGTGAGCACTGGGGTGGGTGGAGGGGGTGTTAAACATAAAAGTACTGCAGTCTCAGTTCAGGAAGGAAATAAAAAATGGGAGTCCCCTTTGACCTCAGAGAGGCAGCCCCTGTACGAAGTCAGGCACAAGTCCCTCCAGACCACGTCTAAGCTCCAACAAATGCACATTTAATGGCCTCGTTCCTCACTCTGAGCTTTGCGGCCTCCTTGCTGCTCTGGCTCTTTTCAAAATCTTTCTAGGGAACTACATAAAAACCTACCTCACGCCTTTACTGGTGGTGCAGGCCATGGTTTAATAATCCTGCTGATGGACATTTAGATTGTTACCTACATACGCTATTTCAATTTAATTGTCATATATATAACTGACGTTATCATATTAGTTTCAGGTGTATATATGCTACATGCTATTCTAAATGAAGGTAGGAACTTCCCTGGTGGTGCACTGGTTAAGAATCCGCCTGTCAATGCAGGGGACACAGGTTCAAGCTGTGGTCTGGGAGGATCCCACATGCCACAAAGCAACTAAGCCCATGCTTAGCCCACAACTACTGACCCTGTGCTCTACAGCCAGTGAGCCACAACTACTGGGTGGCTAGAGCCCATGCTCCGCAACGAGAAGCCACTGCAGTGAGAAGCCTGTGCACTGTAACGAGGAGTAGCCCCCGCGCACCGCAAGTAGAGAAAGCCTGCGTGCTGCAACAAAGACCCAAGGCAGCCAAAAATAAATAAATAAATAAATAAACTTTTAAGAAATTAAATGAAGGTTGTGAACAATTCCAGGCCTGGATCTTTAATCACCAGGATGAGTACTGTACAAAAAATGGCTAGGGGGCTTCCCTGGTGGCACAGTGGTTAAGAATCCACCTGTCAATGCAGGGGACACGGGTTTGAGCCCTGCTCTGGGAAGATCCCACATGCCGCGGAGCAACTAAGCCCATGCACAACTACTGAGCCTGTGCTCTAGAGCCCGCGAGCCACAACTACTGAGCCCACGTGCCAAACTACTGAAGCCCGC